ATTTTTAATACTTCTATAATTACTTTTTTTGATACATTTAAATATATTTTAAGACTAACCAATAAGGTTATATATATTATAGTTAAAGTATAAAAATTTTAAAAAATATTTAAATATATCAAAAAAAATAAATATAGAAATATTAAAAATAAATAACTTGTTGCTAAAAAAAATTAAATTTACAAACAAATCATAGAATAGATCAAAAACATCTTTTTAATTATAATATTATTTTATTAAAAGAATTGTTACAATATAGCAAAACACATACTTATAAATATAACAAATACCTTTAATAATACAATACATATAATTAGCATTATAGTTAAAATTAATATTAAAATATTGCAGAATTAGCAATTAGTTTATATATTTTCATTAAACATAAATGTTATCAAAAATGTATAAATAATTATTAATTTTAATTGGTTAATAGTAATAATATAAATTTTAATCAAAATAACTCAAATTTTTATTAATAAAATTATAATTATATTAAATAAAAAATTCTTGAGCTCATTTATTATTAGACAATTTAAAGTTTAAATTATTAATCACTTATTAGTATTGTGGTTCAATGAACAACTACAGGAGAGCATACAATTAGTTACATGTGTAACTTTTCTATATTACCTATTTAAGGAGTTTACCTGAAGGTTCCTTACCAATTGCTATACCTAATATCCTTGCTTGAGTATTTTATTTTAAACCCTTTGAATCTATAATCTTTGTTAATTCACTGGATTATACTCAGATGACCAGATTATTATCTCAACCTTCAAACTAATTTATCCTTGAGGTAAACCCCTCAGAGCCTTCTGTACTCATTTTTATAACTGATCTAGGTAACACTATATCAGAACTAATATTTGCTGTTGGGCTAATCATTAAACTGCTATATTCTTATAGGGTTCACTTAGACCCCAGCATTTACTTCACAGCATAACCTGGACTTTAGTATATCTCGGTCTTTTTTTCTATCTTTTTATCAAATTCTCAACTCAGATAGCCTATATAGAACTACAATCAGTTTATCAGTATATCAGGTCAGTCTGATATTCTTTTTTTCCAGTTTGTTCTAGCAACTTAGTTGATAGTTTTTCAAAACTTCCAACTCAGAGGTTCTTATCTATTCAACTACTATAACTGAGTACTAGACCTTGGTATCTATTTTACTAAGCAAGCCTTTACAGTAGGGTCATTAAAGATCCAGCTACTTTTCTACTTAGGTCTTTTTAAATAAACTTCTTGTTATCCAATTTTAACAGATTTACATAATTACAAGGACTTATCTAATGTTTGAACTACTCGATTTGTTAGTTTGCATTTCTATATATAACTTTAACATTGTACAGATGCCTCATGACCTGCTAGTCATACTGATGTAACCACTATTACAGATATCCTAACCCAATTGTTAGTAACAGTTAACATAATATAAATATTATATAGGTGATTATCCAAAATTTCATCATCAATGGGATTTGAACACCCAACCTACCACTTGGAAGGTTGACAACCTGACCACTTCACTAGATCACCACATCCCAAAAAATCCAAATTTAAGAATCTATAAAAAATTATATAATTGTATATATATTAATTATGCAATTAATCAATAAAAAGCTATATATACTTGTTTTAACTTGTTAATTTATTTATTTATTATATATACCAATATTAATTAATTTCTTTTAATATATAATTCTAATGACTAATGCTCAAGAGACAAAACTAAAATATCACTGTATAACTTGTTTTAGCTGTTATAAATGTTTGTATTATAGAACTGATTTGCAACAGCAATTCAACTTATCAGATGTGCCATATAAGAAAAATAAAATAAACTATTAAATATGCATTTACATGAGTCTTTAAGCCAAACTGGATAAAAAAATAAGTAAGATACATTTGTCAAAAAATAATATTTTACAGTTATTCTCTAAGTTAAAAAAAGCTTTTAACTTCTCTTTATGTTCTTGTTGTAATAGTATATTATTAAAATTATCTTCGAAGGCAAAAAAACATAAATCAATATCAACTTCTGCAGCCCTCATCAGCTTTCATAATTACAAATATAGCAAGTTTCTCAGAAATTGAATCATATGATCTTACTATTCTAAAATATAAATCTAACAAATTTGAAGAAATAAATAAATAAGAGTTTACTGCTAATAGAAATAATAAGCATAATGATAATGAGTCTTTATTTGATGAAGATAGTGAATATGAGTATAATTATAGAATTGGTATTAAATTAGCAAATGGTACAACTATTCCTAAAAATAATGTATATCCAAGGTATCTACAATTAATGAATTGCTTTCAAATCTTAACATAAATATTGAAATCTTAACAATAAGAAGATCGATTGAACCAAGTAATTATTGTCGGGGATGACGCTTTTATTTGGATGATCTTGAAATTAACGCATCTGATTGGTTAGGGTTAGGATGAGGGGTTTCCCGACATTTATTATATCCAGTGTGAGCTGTAGAACTGTAATCCCGAAAGGAGGTAATCGAAGTGGCGCAGAACGGGTATGCCGATCCTTTACCTAATATGGGCTTCCCGGGATTATCGGTCCT